GTCTAGAACGCGGCAAAATCAACATATGGGCAATAGGTACTATGAATAATATTTATGGTATGTGCAATCATGTATGATAAATCTTGTGACTCAATGCATGTTTTTCATATGAATTCGGACTAGGAATATGATCGGATCGTGTTAAACATATGTTTAATATATTTTGAAAAAGAATATTGAATAATAGTGGATTATCGATCGTCTTGAAAGCATGAATTTAATAGATTACGAATTAAGAATTGAATTAGATGGCAATAGGAGGTCTCACAATTCCAATGCAAACATTCACATATTAGATAAACATTTTATTTGCTTTACTAGTTTAGGATTAGTATAAATAATATACGAACCATCTCTTTTGATTTCATCACACTTTGAATTTAATAATAGCTATTAAATTACAAATTAGACTTTATTCCTCGTGGAGCGATACTCTTAACTCGCATATTTTATTACTTGTACAACGATCCCGTATGCTTGCGGGTTTCACACGAACAAGGGACAGTGTAATAGTACAATCTATGCCATACTTATATGCACCACGACCACTCATGTGCAGCTAATTTTGTTTTCTCTTCACAGGAAGGCCAAACGGAAGGATCTCCCGTGTTAGAGTTGGCCTGAGTGAGCTCTTTTACAAGAAGTAGAAGCAAAAACAAAAGTCGTGCCAAACGGACTATGAATGTGTGTAGAAATCTAAATTCAAGAAATGGGGTTAATTCTGCCTCCAGAGGGTTGTGGTCAATTGAGTTTTTTCGTTGTTCTTTTATTGGAAAGCTTTATATTCTTTCTCCCGTCAAGATTTCATTCTTGTAATTTTCAAGTGGCATTGAGTCTAAAAGAAATTTATTTATTTATTTATATTTATCATAGATCGGTGCTGAAAAAATTTCTCATATCCCCAAAATATTAACAAGGGGGTTTAGGAAAAAAGAAGTCTTTCTTTCTTTTGGCAGGCCTCTATTCTTTTACGTGCACTACCAACTTCCTTTCTCACGAAATCTGTGTTAACATTTCAACTTCCTGCATCGTAGTATATAGTCGTTTGTGTTCCATTTTAATTGCACACAATATACCATAACCCTTGCTTGAAATGTGAGGATGTAGTTAAGACCCCGTTTGGTTTGGATAAAATCTAGATTTTTAGTAGAATTTGAAAGTGGTAGCTGAAATGTGTAATTGAAAAGTTGATAAAAGTTATGATTCACATGAAATGTGCTACGGAAAATGAATTTAGAGATTAAATTTTAATGCACTCTTTACTTCAACTTTCATTTTACCTTTTTCAATTATTATCATTATTATTATTATTATTTTGGCCATTATTTCTTTTTCCAAAATCGTCGATTGAATAATATTATTTATTAACTAAAATATTCAAAGTTTAGCCTTGAAACTTGTAATTTGACAAGTACAATTAATATAAAATAAAAATAAAGAGAGCACGTTGAAGTTAATTTCAATAATTCACTCTTCAAAATAAAGAATATTTTATATTTGAAGAGTCTCTTGAAGAAGAAATGATCTATTATGCATCATTGCTAAATCAACAATGACAAGATTTATCAATTAACTGGTGAATAAGTTTATGGAAGGTCTCAATGATTAAATAATCTACTAATATTGTTGTTGCAGCATGAGCACCGGTGATTATTAGTACTGGAGATGTTCTTATGCCTCTGTTTGGTAGGTCTCAATGATTAAATAATCTATTTTTGATTTTGTTTTTATAGGCTAAAATCCTAACTAAATACTTGTAAAATTAACGCAACTTTAAGGAAAAATGATTGTGTACGAAATTGCATCTATATAATTATCATCGTACATAGAAAAGAAAACTAGCAACTACAATAACGACAAAGAACAATAATTTAAAATCCATAGTTGTAAACATCAAGGTAAAACAATCATAAAAGAATACTGAGTACACCTTTGAAA